ACGACGTATAACACTATCTTGATGTATTCTGTGTAGGTGGAGCACGACGTATAACACTATCTTGATGTATTCTGTGTAGGTGGAGCACGACGTATAACACTATCTTGATGTATTCTGTGTAGGTGGAGCACGACGTATAACCCTATCTTGATGTATTCTGTGTAGGTAGAGCACGACGTATAACACTATCTTGATGTATTCTGTCTAGGTGGAGCACGACGTATACACTATCTTGATGTATTCTGTGTAGGTGGAGCACGACGTATAACACTATCTTGATGTATTCTGTGTAGGTGGAGCACGACGTATAACCCTATCTTGATGTATTCTGTCTAGGTGGACCACGAAGTAATATACTATCATCATGAATTCTGTCAAAGTGGAGCACGACGTAAAACCCTATGTTGTATTCTGTAAAGATGAAACACGACGTAAAGTACTATATTGATGAATTCCGTCAATGTGGAACACGACGTTGAACACTATTTTGATGTATTTACTCAAGGCGAAGCAAGACGAGCAACACCATATCTAGATGTATATTTTAATGGCTTAAAAGGAGAGCGGGTGGATAAAATATCGTACCTTATTGTAGGGTAGAGAGGAAAAGTAGTACTGCGAAGAGGGAAAGAACTGTAGTGAAGAGAGGGAGTTGTGGATGTAGATAGGAAAAGTAGCGAGAAATGGGAGGTAGAGAGTATGGAGAGGTAATGTAGTGAGATGGAGAGAAAGTGATACGAGGGAGGATAGGAAAGGGAATGAAGCTATTACAGAGGTAGGAATAGAGTAATGATAAAAAAAGCTAGAAGTGACAGTTCCGTGTAGAGCAGGAGAGGGGAAAAAACATATGTAAACAATGAAAAATGTGAGGAACGGGATATAGGATGGGTTCGACCCATGATGAGTGATGGAAGGGAAGGTGCTGCCTGTCACTGACGAATTGGGGAAAGGGAGCGCTGAGGGGTGATGGAAGAAGGGTCACAGAAATGTAGTGAGAGTGTTGTGGAAAAGATGCAAGGAAGAGGCAGAGCTGTGAGTGAGGGATTGAATGAGGGGAGGTGCGGATGGCCGCCCACCTCTCCTCATCTGTCTTCATTTCCTGAAGAACTTGTGAGGCCCATCGAGTTTTCTCTCTTAGAATAGCTTCTTGTTTCCTATCCTCTCTGCTAAATTTTCTCGCAGATTTGAATTTTGTGTTTTCTTGATTGACTTATAAACGTATAGAAATGACAGTAGTCTATATTTTCCATGTAAGTATTGATTTCGTACCCAATCGAAATCGTACCCAATCAAATTGCAGTTAGTTTGAGTATCGAAATTTTCACTGCCTGAACACGTAACCAGATCATTTTTAACGAATATCAAATTTACTTAATCCCAGTTGCGAGAGGCCTTTGAGGAGGATAGAGCCTACTTTGGGTGTCTCTGAACCTATGTATCTCTTCTTCCCATTCCACATATAAAAATATACATGCACGTCATCCGTGCAAGACAAAAATGAGTCCGGAACGGGGGGTGAGATGAGGTAAACATCACATTCTTGTTGACCTGTGACATTTAGCAAAGGTCAAAGGTCATTAGTTTCCTGCGTGTGTCTAATTACCACCTGAACAATATCCTGTGTTCATATTTATACAGCTCCGTTTCTCTCTGATTCGTTACATGATCTTTAATGTAGAAACTGACTAACGTAAAATCGTATGAACAAAGAAAAAACTCACACATCCAGGGAATACATATAGAGTTGGGAATTGTAAATGAAACTGAGGCACAGTAATATAAAGACGTGGTTTATCTGTGTAAGAATAATGAACATTTAGAATGAACTAGAGGAGGATATGTTGGGGAACTATTTCTTCCTTATTTTTCATGTGAATCAGGAAAATGCTGGATTTTTGTAGTATGTTCTCCTCTTATAATTTGCTACGGCATTTCTATTTCTACAAATCTGTATTTAAAGGCAGCTTTTGTTTGCATAATTTAGCAAGAAACCAAATTTTATTTTCGTCTTGGTAAATGATGTGTGTGTGTGTGTGTGTGTGTGTGTGTGTGTGTGTGTGTGTGTGTGTGTGTGTGTGTGTGTGTGTGTGTTTGTGTGTGTGTGTACTCACCTATTTGTACTCACCTATTTGTGCTTGCGGGGGTTGAGCTTTGGCTCTTTGGTCCCCCCTCTCAACTGTCAATCAACTGGTGTACAGATTCCTGAGCCTACTGTGCTCTATCATATCTACATTTAAAACTGTGTATGGAGTCAGCCTCCGCCACATCTCTGAATAAAGCCTCCACCACATCACTGCCTAAACTTACACACTGTGTGTGTAAGTGTGTGTGTGTGTGTGTGTATGTATTTATATATGAATTTGAGTGAAAATTTGTGTATGGATGTCTGTGTGTAAAGTCACTAATTTGAACGCACCTATTTGATCCCGCAATATTGAGATTCAGCTCCTGCTCCCCACCTTTCCAGCCCTCTGTCCAATGTTATGTCAGCCTATCTTTCTTTTTCCTAACTGATCTTATTTTTGTATGATGAACTGAATTGGCTTACATCCCGCTCGTGAAGCTGATTCCATTTCCCTACTTCTCCTAAACAAATAATTCTTTCATCTGGAGACTCATCCAGTGTCTCAAGCATACATGTCCCCGATAGAACGAATTATCATTATTAAATAAATATCCTAGACTGCCAAATAGATTTCATTTTGAGTCTTCCATCTAGGCCTTTTATGAGCCTCAATTACTTTGGTACCTGCTTTTTTCAGAATTAATCTCTGGCTAAACAATCGCCTTTTTTTTTAGGATTAACCATTTATTACCTGTTAGCAGTATGTTCTCCTACTTCTTCTCGAGAGATCTAATCTTCTCCAGAGATTAGTGTGAGATTTACCACACTAATCTCTGTTAATTTATTCCTTTTGCTAATCACTCTCTTTGACAAGTATCCTCTGATTCCAGTTGGTGTTCTGTGTAGTGCTATTGCGGCCCTCTTATCCCTCCCACACTTATGTTAATATATTTCACATCTGCCCACTTGGTTCGTATTAGAATATTTGTTGTGGTCATTAACTGTTGATCCCAATGAGTGTACTATGAATATATATATTATATCTCATGTCTCTTTCTCTCTCTGTCTTTGTCGCCTTATTTATCAGTCTGTCTGACTGATAAATAATTCTCCTTATTTGTAATGACGTTCAGTTCAGTTTTTTGCCGTATCCCTGTGTGTGTGTGTGTGAGTGTGTGTGTGTGTGTGTGTGTGTGTGTGTGTGTGTGTGTGTGTGTGTGTGTGTGTGTGTGTGTGTGTGTGTGAGTGTGTGTATCCCTGTTATCTTTTTGCATATGAACGCATATATATAAATAACAATAATTTCCTGTATGAAAATGTATAAAAGGCTTTAAGCATTATAATCGTACCATAACGCTCCATCCTCATATGGTTGCCACTCCCACGTGATGGCATGCGATTCTCATCCAGACACTGCTTGGCACTGCCTCCATCTGCCCTCCATTACCCACGAATGACGTGAGTGCCGCAGACTGATGGGAATAATTAATATCCTCTTCCAATTCAGGTCGGTCTCGTTATTATCAGCGACGGGCCGTCAGTTGGTACGAGCATTAGGAGAAGTTACATATATATAACGATTTGTGAAAAGGCACAGGAAAAGACGCCAAATGGCACAGAAATACAACCACACTAAAATACACATATTCAGACACACACACACACACACACACACACACACACACACACACACACACACACACACACACACACACACACACACACACACACACACACATTCGTGCGTACTTACATGTATGACGCAAGCGCATAGACTAGCTAAAAGACTTTTAGCTTCCCTCATATACCCCTGCTTAGCAAAGTATGAATTCTGGGCACCATCTCGGCTCCTCCTTGTGATAATGAGTTTCTTTTATGGTGAAGCGTGCATAAAATTACATGAAACTAGATCAAGCTCATCAGATGTGCTTGTTGAATATGAGAGAGAGAGAGAGAGAGAGAGAGAGAGAGAGAGAGAGAGAGAGAGAGAGAGAGAGAGAGAGAGAGAGAGAGAGAGAGAGACAGAGAGAGAGAGAGAGAGACTAAACACATGAAGGGTAAGGTTTACATTCTGGATTAAACTTACCTGCATGTGGCATTGCCAGAATAAAAAAACAAGGTTTTGTTTAAAAATGTTCTGTGCATAAACATAGTTAGGAAGCCAGGCATGGGGCTCTATTTGCCCGCCGAGGTAAATAAACTCGCTGACAGAAAGAGCATGGTTCACAACTCTACTCTGCTAACAAAGCGAGCATGACAGGAAACTAACCCATTTATGAAGAAGCACATAATTTCTCACTTAGACACACAATTTATAGAGAAAATGGAGAACGAAATTATAATATCAGACATATGCAAACAGATAGGAAAACAGTGAGAGACAAAATGAGACATACCAAGACATTGAGAGAGAGAGAGAGAGAGAGAGAGTGAGAGAGAGAGAGAGAGAGAGAGAGAGAGAGAGAGAGAGAGAGAGAGTGAGAGAGAGAGAGAGAGAGAGAGAGAGAGAGAGAGAGAGAGAGAGAGAGAGAGGGAGAGAGAGAGAGAGAGAGAGAGAGAGAGAGAGAGAGAGAGAGAGAGAGAGAGAGAGAGAGAGAGAGAGAGAGAGAGAGAGAGAGAGAGATGGACTGTAAACATAATTACCTTGCCCATGATTAAGGTGGTCTTTGAGAAGAGTTGTATACATATTAAAATAAGCTTTAATAATATTTCGAACAGGAATAAAATTTAGTTTTTATATATTTCTCAAAAAGTTATTTAAATAAGTCTTTTATACAGCTGTGTTATGAGAGAGTGTTATGAGAGAGAGAATGAAAGACTTATTTAGATAACTTTTTGAGAAAGTGTTCTAGCTGAGTTAGATTTAAGCTATAGAACAAAAAACAAAAGTTATTTGTCCGAAAATCATGTTTTTGATTCATTATTTTCTTTGCAGGACTCAAGCGGAGACGAAAACACCAGATGGATAACAAATTACTGTAGTCATGCCACTATTGATTTGTATAGCATTGATTCCCCCCAAAAGTCCGATCCTTCCCCGTCTGTCAGATATTAACTTCAGAAAAACCATTATGAAGTGAAACTTTGTCTTATCAAATCTAAAATAACAATATTTTATATACGAAAAAATATTCACTATAAAAATACATATTACAGTTATCATGTAGCGCGTGAATAAGGATAAAAACCTTAGTTGTCTAGTTTGTATCAGTATCAGAATAATGCACAATCACTATGTCGCTGAACGGACACAAGGGCAAGCGAAAGAGGTGCAAGAGAAAGCGGAATTAGAACCCAATGAAGAAGTAGCCCCGCAAGGAAAAGTTAACCATTGGTAAGAAGTGCTCATATTAGTTACTCGGCGGACGTCAGAAACTTGGGGAACAATCCTGTGTCTCTGTTGGAGGCGATATGGTCGCCTGGCCAGGGCAAGGGTCATTGGTGGCCCAGAGTAACCAATGGGCAGGCGGACATCAGATGGTCCTCGTGTCTCTGTTGCTCTTCGTCTCCGGGCCACGGTTACTCCTCGCTGCAATGATCACCTCTAAATGTAAGTCATCAAGTTTGTCTGTTTTTAGAAATTTGGGGTTTTTGCTTATCAACGTGATAGAATGTTGCGCATGTTGTCTGTGTGTCTGTTTTGTTTTAATCACTATCTTTGATCTTAGATTGTTTTTTCATCCTCGAGAATCCTTTAGGGAGTCAACTTAACCACCACAATTGCCTAACTTTAAGATGCCTGATTGGATCTAGTTGAACAGAGGCATCGGTGTGTGTGGAAACGTGCCCAAACGCTTCATCTTGCTCAGGAATCAAATTCTAGTTCAATCGAATGTAAGCCGTCTTCGTTAATCACGATATACAGTTCACCGGCGAGACTCCAGTTTCCAAATTGAGTTGGCTTAATGAAATTAAGGCCCTTCAGTTTGCTTCTCGAACTATTGAACACTGGCACTGTTTGGTTAGACAGGCAGCCTGGCCTCTTACAAAGAACGTCGCATTTCGTTCGTATGCGTTACATAAGGACCAAAAATTGTCGTACTGGAAATAGGAAGTGGCTGGCAAAAGTGACGTGCTGTCCCGTTTTCTGTTTTGGGTCCTCTGGTGGGTTAGGAGAGTACACTTTAATTTGAGTGTTGTCTTGACGTTGGGAAACCTTAGGAGAACGGTTTAGGATCTCGATCCTAAGATCTCGGATGTAGGTTCGAATCCTCGTCACGGCCCTTGTGGATTTGTTCAGGACGGGCTGAAGTAGGATGATCTGCGATTGTACGATTATGGTTCGACTAAAGCATGTTAAATTAAACGATTGTGGTTTGAAAGAAACAGGAAATCCAATCTGGGCGAGGGGTCGACTCGCTTTCCATCGCTTCTTTTAAGGAAACGTGCCACTGAAATCGCATTTTATGTTCAGCTGTCGCGAGGAAGGCTAATCGTGTCGGAGCTTCGTCCCTTACCTCCTATGTCGTCACTTAATCTGTATTTTAGGTGTCGATATTAAAGTGACCCGAAGATCGTAATTGGACGTGATAAGGGACCAGTATTTGAAGCCCACTTTGACATGATTTGTCCAGTCAAAAATATCAGGATCTCCTGTTCAAGGAGATCCTGAGTCAAGGGAACAACAAGGGAAACTTGTTTTAGTCAAGGGAACAACTGCTAGAAAGACAAACTCGATGATGAATGAAGCACCTGACCTTGACGATGCATTCAACGGTTGAAGGATGCATATAATTCAACAAAAGATAAGGGGAATAGACAAAAATATACTGTAACCACCATCGTTAGGAAAGACTATAAATTCCTGAAGCAGAAACTGAGTTATCTCAACATTCTCTGATGACGGTGAGAGAGAACCCGCTGGTGTGACAACCAGTATTCGTTTTCCTTCACAGTGGAAGCAAGTTCTTGGCCCTGGTGTCGACTCCCACCTGACCAACAGTGGAGCTAAATGCAGGCGATGAGTCACAATAACGTGGCTAAAGTATGTTGATTAGACCACACACTAGAAGGTGAAGGAACGAAGACGTTTCGGTCCGTCCTGGACCATTCTCAAGTCGTTTGAGAATGGTTCAGGCCATTCTCAAGCCATTCTCAGTCGACTTGAGAATGGTCCAGGAGGGACCGAAACGTCGTCGTCCCTTCACCTTCTAGTGTGTGGTCAGGTCAACAGAGGAGCTAAACGTGGGTTGCTTAACAAAGTCAAGGATACAGTGGTGTCTAAACCATGGATGGGAAGGGTGGTAACTTCGCTTGTGTCATCAACGAGAGAAGTGATTGTGTCGGACGCTGAAGAGGCTTTTCACTAGGTGCCAATTTATTTATGTCAACTGGTATGTTAAAAGTAAGGTTTCACTTCTCGATTACCAGGTTTTTGATTGGTAATCAAATTAGATAACAAGTATTTACAATAGTGGAAAACAAACATTCATGTTCGTTAGCAAGTTTTGATAGTAAGTTGATAACAAACATTTTATGTTAAGTGATATCTATAATTATGCTTGCTAGGTTCAGAATTTTTGCGAGTGAAAGAACAAATATAGTTTCGCCAATCAGCGATTTCGTATTAGTGCTTCATAAATAATTGATTCACATTACATGATCTTGAGTAATACTGGAAGATAATTTATCATACGAAAATTTTTGCGTCCATTAAGCCACTAAAGGTGGCAGCTATAACACGTTTTAACGTACGGTATTGACTACATTATTAATGTGTGTTGTGATTAAGTGCCACGAATATGGATTTGTGAAATTGGGGACACAGTGACTTATTGCTGAGTAATGCCGAGTACAGCACTACCGGTAAGCCATTTGCTAGTAGGTTATAAAGCTGTCTGAGGAACACTAATGATTTCCTGAGGTTAAAGTAGTGTGTCTACTAAGATATATGCGTGCGGTGATATTTTAAGTTTGTTGTTTACAAACTTACTAACTGTTTAATCTCATTCAAACTTTAATCATTCCTAGAGTTGTAAATGAAGCATACTTCTAAAGATATTCTGTGTACAAGGTATTAGACTTCACTTCTGGAATATCAATCACTACAATAACAAATTCTTGACCTATTATTATATTAGAAAATTATATTGAGTTTGTACTTCAGTGAAACGAAGATTGAGAATCACGACCCAAAAGCTGGCTATGGTGGTGCAGTGGTAGCCCTCGCGAGTGCTTTAGTCTACAGTTCGAGTCCTGGTCATTGGTGGATTGACTAGGCGCCAATACTTAACTGTTCGCCTCTATTCACCCAGCAGTAATTGGGTACCTGGTTTGTTAACCGATTGACGAGTCGTAATCCAGAGAAAAGCCAATCAGTAAAGCTTATCATATGCTAATTCTCTGATGGCGCAGTGGTAATACACTCGCACCTCGCTTCGCGAGCGATTTTGTCTAGGTTCATATCCTGGCCGGGGAGGATTGACAGGGTGCCAAGCCTTAACTGTACACCTCTGTTCACTCAGCAGAGATTGGGTATCTTGTTGTTAAAGGATTGACGGGTCGTATACCAGGGAAAACTAGCGAGTAAGGCTTACTATAAGCCACTGGATCGGAACACGCTCAGTCTGTTAACAGGAATCGTCCTGATCCTGTTTTTTTTTTACCTGTGTAAAAAAACACGAAATTGAAGGAGAGCTGAGAGCAGGTGGGCAGGTGTACACACCGCCCAGCTACAGGTGGGCAGGTGTACACACCGCCCAGCTACAGGTGGGCAGGTGTACACACCGCCCAGCTACAGGTGGGCAGGTGTACACACCGCCCAGCTACAGGTGGGCAGGTGTACACACCGCCCAGCTACAGGTGGGCAGGTGTACACACCGCCCAGCTACAGGTGGGCAGGTGTACACACTGCCCAGCTACAGGTGGGCAGGTGTACACAGCACCCAGCTACAGGTGGGCAGGTGTACACACTGCCCAGCTACAGGTGGGCAGGTGTACACACCGCCCAGCTACAGGTGGGCAGGTGTACACACCGCCCAGCTACATAATCACAGAACGCTACAGATGTTAGCTTCTGTAGCTAGCGTTAGTTAGTGTTCGCTTAGTGAACGTTAGTTAGTGAACGCTTAGTTAGCGTTCAGACGTGCTTTCAGCGCTTTTCCCAGAGCACAAACGGAATTTCACTACATAACACAAAATTGACTGTGAGGACAGAGGTGTATCTGAACGAAGCATGTTTTTTTTCAGCATGATGAGGTGAATAAGAAGGTAATTCTAAGTTTAGTATCACTGACTTACGACCTAGTATGACCTAGTATGACTGTATAGAACTCGGAAGGGAGTGCTATGCAGAGGACAGAGTGATGGCAGTGCTAAATCACTATAACTGTTGAGGATCGAACACCGACTCTGTGTGACCAGAGCCTCGTAGCCTGGTGGATAGCGCGCAGGACTCGTAATTCTGTGGCGCGGGTTCGATTTCCGCACGAGGCAGAAACAAATGGGCAAAGTTTCTTTCACCCTAAGTGCCCCTGTTACCTAGCAGTAAATAGGTACCTGGGAGTTAGTCAGCTGTCACGGGCTGCTTCCTGGGGTGTGTGGTGTGGGAAAAAAAAAAAAAAAAAAAAAAAGTAGTTAGTAAACAGTTGATTGACAGTTGAGAGGCGGGCCGAAAGAGCAAAGCCCAACCCCCGCAAAAACACAACTAGTAAACACACAACTAGTAAACACCAATCAGCCCAAATAGACTGACTGGATAAGAAAGAAACTAGATCATAGTTAAGACGAATTTCCTACCCTCTCTTTAAGAAAAACGAAGGAGAGAATCACAGCACAAGATTCCGCCACCCACAACAGACGAGCTGAAGCTGACCAACAGCCACTCTGAGGCGAACCCAAACCCATCAGAAAGGCTTTACAACCACCTTCATGTTTACGAACGGAACCGAACTAAGAAAGATAAATGGTCTCAACGTCACAGGCAAACACAGTAAAAAGAATATGTTCCTGGCAGCCGCTATATGGAAACTATTTAGCAATACAATGGGGAGCCGGTCGGCCGAGCGGACAGCACGCTGGATTTGTGATCCTGTGGACCTGGGTTCGATCCCAGGCGCCGGTGAGAAACAATGGGCAGAGTTTCTTTCACCCTATGCCCCTGTTATCTAGCAGTAAAATAGGTACTTGGGTGTTAGTCAGCTGTCACGGGCTGCTTCCTGAGGGTGGAGGCCTGGTCGAGGACCGGGCCGCGGGGACACTAAAAAGCCCCGAAATCATCTCAAGATAACCTCAAGAAGAAGATACTTGTTTATATTTGAAACGTTTCCTCTCCCCCTTCTTTATCTTTCCTTATTCCTTAAACAAAGGAAGAAATAAGAAATTTTACGTGATTGCTCTTCCTCCTTCCTTCTCTCCCCCATCTTAGTAGGAGGAATAAAGACATAGGTGCACAAGGGACTGGTCCAAGCGCCCGGGTACCACTCTACACTAATTACATTGTTCCTAATTTAATCAAAATTTAGTTAATAATCCGGACCTTAACCTCCGGCTTTCTCTAATTTCATTGCCGCTGCACCTGCCCGACGGTCTGTTTATCTGGCGCTGTTGAGC